AAGTGATGACATATTCCACGAATTGGAAATTATGAGTTTTGCATTTCCCAAATTAAGGACTGCAAGCTGGGGTTTCTTCCTATATCTGGGAAAGATATATCTCCAAAGGGAAACGGCACAATGGACTTGTAAACTGGAATTTGCTGGAGGAGGTGAACATAGCCTCAAAATAGCAACTGCTCTGTTAGGGTGCTGTAAACAAACTACCGCTTTTGTCACTTTATGGAATGAAATCATTAAGCTTCTGTCACGTGACCCATATGAGTTATCTGCATCAAAGGGAGATGATCACCTTTTGTATCCCCACAATTAAAATATATATGTGTGTGTGTGTGTGTGTGTGTGTGTGTATCCACTTTTCACAGTATAAGGATAGGCTTTTTCAAAGTTGTGGGATAAATCCACTTTATGCAGTTAATGGTAATAAAATTTTGAGTGCATATATTTGTTTCTATAACAAAAGGTTTTAGAAAAAAAAATCTTCAGTGTGATTATTTTTAGAAGTCTGATCATAAGATGATCAAATTTCAAATCTAATTTATGTGTTTAGAATACTAAATTTATTAGAAAATAGATTCAACTTAAATGCAGGTGTCATAAAAAAAAAAAATAAGGCCATATATTTCATCTTATACTCTATGCATGCTACCAAAAAAGTAAATTTCATATGATCCCCAAAGTTAAGCAATGTCGAGCCTAGTCATTATGGGTGACTATTTGGGAATATCAGGTACTGTAAGTTTGGATGCATGGATGGTATAATAGAGAATGGCTCAGAATTATTAATTAGAGAGCTGAGTTCCAATTCCTGTCGGGTTCATTATATTAACTTACACTTGGGAAAGGTATGAATCCACCTATTCTCCACCCAGCTATGGGTTAATTAGAAGGATTTGTATCAGTCAATAATTATTATCTCTGAAAGAATCTTACAATGTAAAAATATTTTCTGGCTTTAAATAACCTGTTAAAGAGTTGATAAGCTGTAAAAGACAAATAAATTCCTCAATCAACAAAATTTAAAAAAAAAATAAAACAAAACATTTTAAAGAATAATTCAATTTATTACCAAATAATTTACAAAAATGTTTGTCTGAATTTCTTGGCCGAGTTATTATTTACACTATTTATATTCAGACTATTGTCTTCATTTTTGATGTTGTTATCGCAACGTTTCAGCCAATGCCCTCTGACATTCATCAGGTGTATATCTCATCTAGTTCTTATTTTTAGTCCTGCTCAGTTATTGCTTGCCCTGTTTCCAAAGTACACACTATCTGGACCAGGGACTTGAACTTACAACTACAGTCATCAAATTCATGAACCAAATTTTTAATCCACTAGGCTATCATCCTGTAACATTACTATGACAACAACAGCAAAGATGAAGACAATAGAATAGTGTCCCATGAATATGGAAGGCCAGAGAGCACATTGGCCAAAACATTGCAATAATAAAAATAAACATGGGAGCAATAATCTAAATGTAAATAATGATAACTTCTCAAAGGATTCAGTTTAGAATTCCCTGTAGATTACCCAGATCGATATACACCTGATGAAGGCCAGAGTGCACAATGGCCGAAACATTGTGACAAGAACAACAGAAATGAGGGCAATAGTCTGAATGTAAATAGTGTAAACAATTTTTAAAAATTTCAATAAAATCCCATAATTATCTAATTTTTTTCCAGAGTTTAGAAAAATTAATTCTGCTTGCTTCAAACTTACATTTATTTTAATGTTCAACAAAGGTAGGGGTTATATAGACCAAGTTGGAGGGCAATGTATTAATCCAGTGCCTTATTTCAAACTCAGTTGTGTGTATGTATGCTGGTTTTGTATATTTAATGTCACAAGCACATGAAAATCACTTATACATAACACATGCACATGCATATACATATGTGGATAAAATTCACATTTGTGTGATGAACAGATAATCATCCTCTCTTCTAAAATATATGAACAGATGTTCCAAGGATATCCAGCACCTTAAATGCCTATGGGTAAATTTCAATCCAGACCTCAAGTGCAACTGGTACATATGGTATGATCCATCACCAAAGATTCTGGAAAAAATGGCCGGTTCCCTGTACTGCGCAAGTAAGTACCTGACTCCTCCTGCAACACTCTACTATTACAAGAGCCATATCAAGTTGAACATAGAGTACTGCTGTTTATATAAAACTGGAGCTGTGTGTCCTTATGGGTGATGAATTATTTTCCACTCTACAACCCTTTCCCATAGAGGAAATGTTATAAGTTTAGTGCGACTCTAATGCTATTTCCATGTAAAGTGTTTAGATGAATTACCTTCCTTAGTCCTAATCTTTACAGGTAAGACCCGCCATGCCACACACAATGTATCGAACCACCCACATTCCAATTTTATTCCATTGAGCAGTGTCTTTGCATGAACCACTGCTTTGTGGAACTAATTCCTACAATCTTAGCCTGTTCAAGTCTAGTTATTCATTATTTTCCCTACATACCTACATAAACTGTGCCTCTTACTCTGTAACGCTCTATTATGAGGGGCTCTTTGGCTTTGGAAAAGGTGAAAATTATTGTAAAAAAAAAAAAGCTTTTTCATTGTCATGTATTATACAACATTCAGTTTTTGCAAAAAAAAGAATCAGGAATTTATTTTTTCAAAACCAATCTGACAAAAATAAAAGTAAAACTAATTTTTTTTTTTTTTATCAAGAAAAAGAATCTAAAAAAAAAAAAATCTGGATCAATAAACCAAGTGACAGCACCAGATAATAGAAAAATCTCTTGAGGATAAATTTCAATGATAAAGCAATAATTCCCAACGTGGGGTGCATTGGTGGGGTATGCGCAGGATGTGCCCCCTTTGGCTTGCTATACAAACGTGAGCTCAAATTTCATTTTGCATTGTTATTTCCTGATTGAAATGATCAAAGTATATTACAAAATAAGCTTTCATTCAAATATTTTATATTGCTGCCTTTCAGTTCTTTATTATATGTTTCGAAACTATATATATTTAACAGCCTTTTTGTTTTTTTAATTTTTCTCTTTCATGGAGGCCATGGTCTTTGGAGGCTTTTTTAATGACCTTTCACGAGAATTGCAGTAAAATTTTGAATATGTAAGAATTAAATATTACAGGAGGGCACCAGAATTTTAGAAATACCAGAGTGGGGCATGGCCCATAATCGGTTGGGAACCACTGGCTTAATGGCTAGATCCACTTTGGCAGAAAGGGATGACAATCCTGCTACAGCTACTGCTTAGAGCACATCCATTAAGCTGAGAAGTGGGAGTCTAATATTTTAGCTAAGAATAGCAAGTTCAATCCTGTGTAAGACAACAAGCGTAGTTAACAGAAAAATAATGAATATGAAGGAAAATTTTTTAGGAAACATCAATTTCTAAAATTGAAGGAAAATTTTTTAGGAAACATCAATTTCTAAAATTTTCTTGTAAAATTGTTTTTTTTAATATTTTAACCTAATAGCCTATTATTTTTTAATAAATTCCATGTGCATTATTATTAAACTATTTTTTGGAACAGGAACACTTTGAAAAAACATTTAGAAAAAAAAATGTCTATGACATAAAATTGTTTTAAGGTTTCAAATTATAATTTTTCATATCAATAATTATGTTTTGGCAAAGTTGGACATTAGTACACACAAAAAAAGAAAAATCTCAAAAGGACGCTTCTTCTCTTGATACCGTTATTAGTGTAGATTTTTATTACTTTAAAAAATTGTTTTTTTAGAATTGTAATAAATCCGAAACATATGAAACTAGATTTATGCAGTCTGTTTTTTTTCTCGAGAATTGACAACAAAAGAATTCAACATTATTCTTGTAAACAAAGCCTAATAACTAGTGTTTTTCTTGGCAATTCTTGTGTGTGTGTGTGTGTGTGTGTGTAGGGAGGTGTTCCAGATACTAGCAAAGTACTTTAGTAAATTAAAATGGCAAAAACAAATGAATGAAATACTCTGAAAATGGATTTTATCAATATTTACAATTAGACTCAGTTATGAAAATTTCTCCGATTTAACCAGTAGAGAAGACAATATTTATGAATAAAAATGACAATAGGAAAACTGGTAATTGCTGACGCATTTCGATCAATGTGGACTTTATCAAAGCAAAATATGAAAATGAAATTAAATGAACAAAGTAACTAATAAAAACAAAAACAGAATGTACCTAGCAACTTTGTTCAATTAATTTCATTTTCGTATTTTGCTTTGATAAAGTCCACATTGATCGAAATGCGTCAGCAATTACCAGTTTTCCTATTGTCATTTTTATTCATAAATATTCATAGTTATGTTTATTTAAGTTTTTTTATTCTCTTGTTCACAGACATTTTTATAAATTTATGAATAAATAACATCTTTTCAGTTATTATAAAAGGGTAAGTAACAAATATTACATTGCAGTTAAGCTCATTTTGGTGACTGGATTGTTTTTTTTACAGCCTATCAACCTTTTGCAGGTTATTTAAAGCCAGAAAATATTTATAGATTGTAAAAATTTTTTGAGATAATGATTTTAGTTTTACTAATTAACCCATATCTGGGAGAGAAGAGGAGGATTTATCACTAATCAAATAAGAAATTATGTCAGGGATTAATTCTATATTGCAATCGATATATAAACTGATCCCTCACTTTGTGGCCACGGTAATTCCTATACATTTATATTCTAGAGAATGTAAATAAATCTAAAAGACATGATCGTGTAGCTAATCAGTATTTCTTTGACTGATTGATTGATTCGTTTTTTTTTACTGCTTATCAATACTTTGCAAGTTATTTAAAGATTTTTGGAGACAATAATGGTTTAGAGATTTAAGTTTTACTAACTGACCCATGAGGGAGAGAAGCAGATTTATACGATTCCTAAGGATATTACCATGTAAATGAATATAATGAGTTCAACTGGTATTAGAGCTTGGCTCTCCAGTTCCAAGCCATTATCCATTACACCACCTGCACGTTGAAGCTTATAGCACCTAGTATTCCCAAGGGGTCACCCATCTAGGTACTGACCAGGCTCAATGTTGCTTAATTTCAAGGATCGTATGGAAATTGGTGTTTCAACATGATGTGGTATTTGTGCAGAATTGAACATAATGGATTTGGCTGGAATTGGGTCTCGGCTCTCCATTCTCCAATTCCATGCCACTATCATTACCCAACCCGCACATAGTATTTTACCCATCCAAGTACTAACCAGACTCAGTGTTGCTTAACATTGGTGATCATGCGAGAAAGAAAGACTACAGTAATCCAATTTTATATGATGAGTTTTAAAACAACAAAAATTGCTGAGTAAGTCAACAGTAACATCTGTATCAAGAAAAAAAATCTCCTTTTGACAAATCAGCTTTTTTTGTAGGTATATCAGTTAAACTTTGCCAATGTTACTTTTTTCTTTCTTCTTTTTTAACTTTTAACACTCTGCATTATTAATATTTTTTCCCTTTCCACTGCATTTGTTTTTCAGGGCCTTTCAATTGTAGTAGCCTTAGTGTTAATTTCATTCAAAGGTGTTTTTTGTTGCCATAGCAGGACATGACAACACAAGTATGAAATTCAAACAAATTCAAATTCAGCGATGAGTCACCTTCAGTGGCAGAATAAACCTTTTGTACGATAAATGAAATCACATACAGTGTGATAAAGGTCAAAAAAAATTATTTTCTTTTTTTTTTATTGTTGGTTTTTCCTGAATATGCCTTATGGAATATACGGGGAGTCATGACCACAATGACTGATGCTGATATGGTTTTAACAGAAACACGGCCTTCCTTGGCTCTCTCTCCAGTTCTTGTGACTTTCATGGTTACTAATCAAGGAGGGATAATGTTAACAGGCATTTTTTCCAAACTTGTGGTATCAACAATTACTTTGAAGAAAGCTATATTATTCTTGATATAATTGTTTGGTACATTTAGTTGTTGTAAAGGAAAGAACAAAGGGCAACCACTTGCAATATTCATTTTATGTTCTGGACGTTGAAAAGAGCTACTTTTGGAGTCAGGTCGGAAAGTATCAATCACATGTTTTGAGTCTACTTGATCCAACATCATTAGAGTCACTTTTTGCTTGAATGGCCAAGATAAAACAGCATCGTATTGTCCTTGCATGACCACAATAAATAAAGATATAGTCTTGCCTTTTCCAATACCGTCACCATTTAAATAAAGCCTCAAACACATTTTGTAACCAAAGTTGCTTGTATAAAATGGTGCAGAATATATGCTCGTACACGCTCCGCTTATAGCATCCTGGCGTCTTTTCTCAAAGTCATCAACTCTCCAAACAAAAATTCCGTCGTAACATTCTGGGGTTGTTTTATTTACTTTTGTTGCAAGAGCTTCTCGCTCCTTGATTTCATTAACAAGCAGTTGTGTAAATTTCATCATGTCTGACTGGAAAACACCAATTAATTTGTCAATTTTATTCAGCTTTTGTTTAATTTCTTCTGGTAACTCACTTTCACTTGTATTTCTTTCACAGTTAATTAATGATTTCATTTGTAGAAGATGTTTACAAAGTTCTTGATGAATATGGTCAGAAAGCTTCCTTTGTGGAATCTGAAAAAGATGAATTCTTAAAGTATATTTTGAAAATGTACTTTTGTCTTTTAAGAAAGAAAAAAAAAGCGCAACAAAAATTAAGTTTTTATACTATGACCTTTGTTCTATAATAGTCACTGCAGTTTCCTATACATTTCATATCGTAAATGTTCAAACTATTATGGGATATATGTCAAATAATATAAATGATGAATAAAACCAGAAAACAATTCAAAACAGCCCTATATAACATATTTTTAAATTTCCAAATAGATCATAGATTCATTTAAAATGAAAATTACTATACTTTTGTCCCATAATAATTATATCATTTGCCTTCACATTTCATACACTAGATGTACTAACAATTATGGGACAGAGGTAGTCTATTAATATTTATCTAATACTACTTCTGCCCCATAATAATTGTTCCATTTGCCTACACATTTCATACACTAAATGTACCAACCATTATAGGACAAAAGCAGTATATTCTTATTTATATAATACTAGTTTTGTTCGATAATAATTGATCCATTTGCCTACACATTTCATACAGTAAATGTACCAACCATTATGGGACAGATGTAGTATATTGTAATTATATATATCTTCATTAGTTTGCACTAGTGTTATGCTCTGGCAATACCTATTGAATAATGTACTATTCAGTTTTGATCACATGGAAAGAGGGGGAAAAGACACTATGTGATTTCAGTGAGAAAATGAAAGAAAGAAATAAAGGAAGATAGTTGAGAGGGAGAATCAGATTAAGCTGATAAGAACTGATACTACACTAACCTATAAATATAGCATACCTTAAAACTATATTTTATCATTTAGCTCCTGATAAACAGTAGAGCACTTTCGCTACATTTATAACCCATGATGGATATATTATATATATATATATATATATAATGTCCAACATATTTTTCTTACTTCAAACGTTATTTTTAGTGGATACTCACTCCATTTTTTAAACAGTGTTTATTTTATCTACTGGCCTTCACACTCAAAAACTTTAAAAAATGTGTTCTCTGGCAGGATTCAAACCAGTGTCCCACTTTGTAGGAGAAAGCACTACCTGATCTGGCATGCTTTGACAGCTTGGTTATGTAGAGCTTCACAGCAAAGCACATTCACTTGTCCAGATTTTCTTGAAAGCCATGTTGTCTCAGTTTTGAATCCAAAATGTAAACCAAGCAATTTCTAACAAATTAATGACTTTTGTTTCTTTTTTTTAATATCCAACATATTTTTATTCTTTCAAATGTTATTTTTAGTGAATATTTGTATTTGAGTAGACACTTCCTTTAAAAAAAAAAAAAAAAAAAAAAAGTTTACTTCATTTACCGGCCTGTGTACTTGAATAAACTTAATCCAGAGGGCACATTTTCTCTACTAAGTTTTATTGGGTGCACAGGCCAGTAGACAAAATAAACAGTAAAAAAAAAAAAAAAAAAAAAAAAACTGTGTCGACTTAAATACAGGTATTGACTAAAAATAGCATTTGAAGTCATAAAAATATGTTAAATTAAAAAAAAAAATCCATTAGTTATTTAGAAATTACTTTGTTTACATTTTACATACAAAACTGAGAAGATATGGCTTTCAAGAAATTCTGAATGAGTGAATGTGCTCTAATATAATAGTGAATTATGAAAAATTGCACTTTTATCACAGTTGTCTAATATCTCAGTGTTTGGCTAAGATATAAAGTGCTCAATATTAAGAATAGAGCATATGTAATTATAAAAGTGGATATAAAAGTCAACACACAGAGACAAGAGTCTGTTTTATGTTAACACTGACACTTCCTTGCAACTCCTGCAGCCAAGGCACACCCAAATATAATACCCTGTATTCTTCTTGATCTTATCAGTACAGCCAAAAGTAGGTGAGGGTATGTAGTCTGGTCACTGTAGTACCTCCATATACCATCCCCTGGACTCTGGAAGTCACCACCACCTCACCACCAAAGGACTGAATTTTGACTAAACAGAGTGTTATCTTTATCTCATGAGATAAACTGATGCTTACTACTTTTATTTCTTTTAGAAAATTTATATATAGATATTTTTAAATGACTTGTTTGTCTTTTTGATTACTACCAAATAAGGCTATTAAGTGTTTTACTTACCTGACTGCCACAATCTAAAGGACAGACAATCATAGTGGCACAATCTTTCCGATGATCTTCCAACTGGAACACAACAAAAGAAAATTAATAAAACTTTTTCAAACTATCATTGCTTTACAATTATATACTGTATTTTCTTGTGTATGATATGACCTCATTTCTCTGAAGTTAAATACAGGATATAATTTCATCTTTGAGTATAATACAACCCCATAGTACAGTTACCTATATAAATTTCTTGTTTAAATTTGTGCCATATTATTCATTAAAATCTCAATATTGTATCCATATAAATTATCATAATATTTTGCAATCTAAAATATACAGTATATATTGTTAAAATTATGCTGGGGTTGTTTATGTATTTATCTTCTCTTGTTTTCTTTTGCTCTAATCGTTTGAAGTTTTCAAACTTGATACATTCTGTCAACAGAGAAATGTATAACAACCTCACAGCATGGAAATTATCTCTTTTTTTCCCAAATAGAATAACTCTAAAAAAACATAATTTATACAAGAGACCAGGGTTTCCCAACTGGGGTGATTTCAACTGTTGGGCGGATAGTGGGTGACTGAAAATTTTGGTGGGTGATATAGGATTTTAAGTATTTACATTAGTCGGACTATTGTCCTCATCTTTGTCGCCATATTTGTCACAACGTTTCGGCCGTTGTACGCTCCGGCCTTCTTCAGGTGGTTGGAATTTTGAACCGAACCCTTTATTTCGATCGCTGGGGTAGACTGTTCTAATTCCACGTGCCATGTTTGATGGATGTCAGTTATCAGTTATCTCCTGCTAATTTTCCCTCTGAAAGTTCTCCACTGCCTTAACCAGGAATTGAACTCACCTTCTTTGGGTCTGTCACTGGATCTAACCAACGCTGTGCCATGTGTCCTTGAGGACATCTGGGTATGAACTTCTGAGTATTATAAACCTAATGTTTTCAGCATCATTTTTACCAGTGCTCATATTGCAATTTTTTGCTGTTATCATTGCATGTCTTTACCAGAGTTCATATTGCAACTTTGTTATCATTGTTTTTCTCTGGCACTCCTTATTACTGGTTCCCATATTGTATTTATTTCTATGCTTGGTCGGCTCAGGAGATTTTTGTGGCCTAGCATATGTGCTGATTCCTTAAGTTTCTGAATTTTCCAATGGTGTTCCCTGTCTATGATCTCAACATGATCCCACAGGGGGCGGTGATCTCCTTCTCTCTCCATATGTGGTCAGCCACGCCTGATTTTTCTACTTCCCCTCGCGTTACAGCTTTCTGGTGTTCTTGAAGTCTTACCTTGAGGGGGCGGCCTGTCTCTCCTTTATATTCCTTTCCGCAGCTGCATGGGATAGCGTGCACACAGTCTTTTAGTCATGTTCCTCTCTATGGGGGTCTCACTCTGTGAGAGATACCTGCAAGAAGTGTTGTCACGCTTTTGAAGGTTGTCCTGATGTTATATGGACTGCAGATCCTTTGTATTTTCTCTGATAACCCCTTCACATAAGGCAGGCAGACTGTTTTCTGAGTGTTGTTGTCCTCCTCCTCCTCCTCCTCTTGTACCCGCCTATCCCATTTTTTTGGGGGCTGCTGCCATGTACCCAGGGTAGTTGTTGCGTTGTAGGGTACTACTTATACTGACTAATTCCTTATCTAACGTCTCTGGATCGCCACTTATGACTTTTGCTCGGTGTTGTAAGCATCGGACGATCCCTTTCTTTTACGCTGTATGGATGGTGGGAGTTGAAATTGAGATACTGTCCGGTGAATGTTGGTTTACGGTATACGGATGTCTTGAACCCATTCTCTGTTCGAGATATTAGTACATCCAGGAATGGGAATGAGTTGTTAATCTCTTTTCTCCATTGTGAACTGTATCGAAGGTCTTATTGAGTTCACATGGTCCAGAAGAACCTGGACTTCTTCCTGATGTGGCCAGAGTATGAAAGTGTCATCTACGCATCAGTAACCATATAGTTGGCTTTAGCGATATAGACTCTAATGCCATTTCTTCAAAGTATTCCATGTATATATTCGCCATTGCTGGTGATAATGGCGAGCCCATTGCTAAGCCCTCATCCTGTCGATATATGTGAGATCCCATTCAAGTGTGTTGTTTGTGTACAGAAAGTCAACATCTCCATCAGATTATCTATTGAATACTGGTCCGCTCCTCTAGGGAAGAGTCAGAGGTTAATCTATCTCTGACTACTGAGAGTGCCTCCTCCGTGGGTACCTTGGTGAACAGACTCACCGTCCCAAGCTCACCATCTGGTTGGATAGGATGGGAGCATCTTTGATTATTTCAATGAAGTGGGCGGAGTTTCGGACATATGAAGGAGACTTTCCGATCAATGGGTCAATTATATCTACAAGGAAGCGACTCAGAGGGTGGCACACAGAGCCTTGGCAACCAACAATCGGCCTGAGTGGAATACCGCCTTTGTGAATCTTAGGGAGACCGTGATATGTGAGGTAACTTGCTGTAACGCCATGCGATAACTGCCTATACGCCTTGGGTGCGCCAGACAAATATGGCGACAAAGATGAGGACAATAGTCCGACTAATGTAAATACTGTACATAATACCTCATCTCAGAAATATAGACAAACTCTGATAGGATTTTAAGTATTAAAAAGGTATTTCAACATATGAGACCAAAAAAATAATCAATGGATATATGCAAAGAACCTTCATTAAAAAAAAAAAAAAAAAAAAAAACAAGAGGCTAATTGGGAATAAATGAGTCACATTCCTAGATAAGATATAAATATCCCTACAAACAAGATATATTTTGGTATTTTCTATATAGTTTTCAATAGTCAAGTTTGAGTTTGTTCTTTAGTATGGTAGTAGCATCAGCAGCTGCCATTTAAGTCAGTGTTATTTGTTACCTCCCTTTAATATCATACTTATTATAAAACCCAGGTTGTGTGTGTGTGTGTGTGGTTGTGTGTGTGTGTGTGTGTGTGTGTGTGCACGTTTATACATTGGATTGGATTTCCTACATTTTTCAACAAAACTTCACAGGACTACGTAAAATTACTTTGTGGTGGTTCTGACAGCGCCAAAAATTGGAAAAAGAATTGTTTTTGTACAAAATCAATTTGAAAACACAATTAAGAGGCATCACTTTCGTGGAATAAAAGGGGGACAACTCATATAGAGTTATACTTATTATAAAAACCCAGGTTGTTTGTGTGTGTGTGTGTGTTCCTTTATATATGGGATCGGATTTCCTACATTTTTCAACCGATTTCAATAAAACATCACTTTTTTTATTGGCAGGCAGTGTTTCTTATTGTCTTGCACACTTTTTTCTTTATTTTTACATTCACAATGCTTTAAAAATTCCATTTACAAGACAATTGTTTATAATAAAATTCTATTCAATCAGTAGACGCATAACGATTGAAAACAATATTTTTGTTTGAGTTTGACCAATTCAAAAAAAAAAAAAAAAAAAAAAAACGAAAACAAAATAAATGAAATAATTAAGACATGCGTGTCCGTCAACCTTAAACAATAATCTTTGTCAATTTTTTATTTTTCAGTCTTTATGATGGTCGATACTTGATCTATCTCTTACTGTTACGTCCCTGGGCAACGCTGGGCTCTACTGCTAATTTTTACTACATCAAAGTCAGTTTACGAATCAGTAATGAACTTTTACCAAACAATTTTAGTATGCTTCTGAACATTTACTATACAGGTGTATTTTTTGTTCATAATGTCACGTATTATGCATAAGAAAATGCAGTACATAAAACTTTGAAAAAAAAATTTAAATCCATTTAGCAATTAATAATGCATTCAGAAAATGTGTGTCTTTTTAAATAAAAAAATAAAATCACACAAAACTGACAATTACATTCTTCTGTGTTGTGTCCCTTCAGGATGTGGGTGATTATGGCTCTCCACAATTTCCTGTTTTTTGTAGCTCTTAGTAAAGTTTAACTTTTTCTGATCTCTCCTAATCCCTGTTCAGCCATCTATTTACACAAGCATGTTAGGAAAGTTATACACTGCTCAATTTAAGTCTCCAATTAAATCATTGTGAAAATGAAGATGTCTAATTTTATTTTGGTCTGTTGTAATAGTACATGGTTACCGCTCCTGTTTCCAATTAAAACCTCTTAAGAACAATATAGATTATGTAAAAGTGTTTCATAAAGTGTGTCACAAAGAACTATTTGAACTGCTAGGTAAGCTTAATTTATTTGGGAAGGATAACACCACACAGAAGCATTTATCTCCAGTACCCTTGATGAAGAGACCGAGAAGAAATTACAGGCATACCACCTGAAGAAAAAATATGATGTTTACCCAGGGGTCAAAGAAGCGAAACTTCATCTTGAATCAGAAACAACCTGAGCGAAGTGTCCAGACACTGAGACAATCTTGCTTGTTTAGGAGGAGTAAATGACCTAGTAGGAGAGGTGGGAATCATAAAGGCTACTTAGGAAAGAGTTGACCTCCGAACCCAACTACATTTGTTTTCCTTTCACCTGGTTTCATTTTAATTTTTCTCTAGCATTTTTTACCTTTCAGAATTCTATTATGTCTAAAACATGTTTTATAGCGTGGGAAACTTACCTTATCAAACTGCATAATTATGAAGAGAAATAAATTTACTCGATTTTTTTTTTTTTTACATCAGTTTCTATCTGGTCTCAAAATTGTTTTGTCAGACTGGACACTTGTTGAGGAAAGAAGATTTCCAAAGATATTGGTTCTAAAAATCTGTAGGTGGCAAAATTGTAGGCCATGAAGGAATCTGATGTGAAAGCAGTCCACGGTGCTTGTTTTATTTGTAGGAGGAATTTTGATCCTTTTTAATCCTACATATTTTGCAGTAAAGTTTTGCTTTTTCAAGATATTCATCCATGGGTAGACTTATTGTCAAATTTAGAGATCAATTTTAGCGTCAAACAATTTGTCTGCCGGAGAGGTGTGTAAACTGGACAATAGGCAAACCTGTGATTTTACCAAAACAGGTAGTTGGAGAAAGCAAAGTTTTGAAGATAATTCTTTGTAAAATCTGTACTCACACAGTCAATACTCCTCACTGGTGGTGAAATCAGGAGTTTATTATTATAAAACTCTTGCAGTGCTTACCACTGGTTGTAAATGGATAAAATGTACATGAATACATCATCTTGTTTTGCTGGTTTGTCTTTCTGAACATAAAGAGCATGCAACAATATGGAGTTTTGATTGATAAGGTAGACTTATTGAATTTTTTTTTTCTTTTAAACCAATTCACCCCAAACAAGGTAATAAAGCCACTAAGATGCAAGGGGCTGCTGGGAATGAAAAAGAATGAGAAGATGTTAGGAACTGGAAACCCAATCCTAAACAGGAAATAAGGGATAAACCTTTACTTCTGTTCAAAAGATTGGGAAGAAGTATGAATGGGACAATAGGCAAACCTATTGTTTTGTTCACACACCTCCCAAGTTTTGTGAACAGGAGTAGAGGTTTATCCCTTGTTTCCTTTTTAGGATTGGATATGAATTTACATGCAGTATTGGATTAGAGGCAAGGTCTCATCCTTTTTACAACTGAAATGGCTAGATAGATAAATAAATGACTAGAACCGTAAGTTCTATGCTAACAATTTCTTTTTTCACACTTCTTGCTTGTGGAACTCTCTTCCAGTTTCTTGCTTACAAGTCAACTTTGATCTTCAAAAATTAAATACAATGTCAATCATTATCTTCTTTCTTCTCAATTATCATTCTTTTACTGTTCTCGCTCATCAATAATCTTTTTTCTTTGCTTATTATTCTTTCACACTCAGTAACCCCTTGTCTTTATTTCCTTGCTTGGGATGAAATGATAAAAAAACTGCCAGAGGAAAAAATCAACTGCCAGGTTCTGGTCATCTAAATTTGTAGATGTTCTCCTTGTGATGTCCCTGCAGAGGCAATTCGTTGATTTCATTTAGTCTGTCTTCATCAAGGTGGATCATATTAGCAGACACAGTAAGAGGGTGAAGTTATCTTTTGATGTGGCAGTATGCTTCCTTCCTCCACCCCACATAAAATAGTAGGGGGAGTGCTTGTGCATAAAGTAGCGAAACATTTATAATGATATTTACCATACTTAGAGGAATGTCCTTTGTATGACATCGACTGCATTCTAACAGGAGCCAATCACATGTCAAACAATGTTGCTGAAAAAAAAAAAAAAGGAAGAAAAGTTGATTTTCTAAAAATAGATGAAATATTTTAGAAAAAAGTTTATTATTTCATAGGAAATAAAAATTGATAATTGAAGAAAAAATTAAAATCATTAAATATGGTAAATTTCTATTTAAAGATTTCTTTTTAAAAAATCTATTTAGCCAAAATATTTCGCACAAAGTATTTATACTTTAGTGAGAAAAAATGTTCAACATTTGTGCAGAAGTTTATATAATGAAAGAAAAAAATGAAGGAAAAAATAAAAAATATGAAGAAAAAATTTAATGAAAAAGAAAAAATTTAATAAAAAAGAAAAAATTTAATAAAAAAGAAAAAATTAGGTAAAAAATGAAGGAGAAATAAAAAAAAATGAAGGCGAAAGAAATAAAAAAAAATGAACGAGAAAGAAATAAAAAAAAAATGAACGAGAAAGAAATAAAAAAAAAATGAACGAGAAAGAAATAAAGAAAAATGAACGAGAAAGGTGGGAAAAAGAATGAAGAAAAAAGTGGAGAGACTTGAAGCAGAGATATGGTTCTACTCAAGAATGTATTTAAAAAAAAAAATGTTGAACTGCTATGTAATATCTAATTTCCTATATAAATGTTGGATAATCAGATTACAAAGGGGTTTAAAATTATATAGATGTGGTTCTACCAAAGAATGTTTATATAAAAAAAAAAAAAAGAAAGAAAAAGTTCTGAATAACTATATGATATCCATCTTCCTATATGGCAGTGAATGTTAGACAATTTCCACAGAGTTGAAGAGTAAACTTTAGGTAATAGATTATTCTATTTGTTCTTTTACATTTTATCAACTCCTTGTGTTTTTTTTTTAAGCCAAAACATTCTGGATTGTAAGAATAATACTTTTTTTTTCTGAGTGAATATTATATTAACAATATAAGATACAAGCCTTACTGTTTAACCCATAGCTAGGGAGGAGGTGATGGATTCATACCTTCCCCAAGAGCATTTGCACATAAGTGAATGTAACAAACTTGTCTCTTATTCAAAACATTTGAGAATGTAAGGCCCACATCTAGATGAGAGACCAGGGCCATACAAACACTGGCTGACAGTAACTGACAAAGAACATTTTTTTTTTTTTTTTAACAATGATGTTCACTCTGTACAAAGCTAGAGAGCTACTTGTGGTAGAGAGTTACAGAGTAAGAGGTACAGTTTATGCAGATATGTGGGGAAAGATAGAGGTTGATCCTAGACTTGTTCAATGAAACAATATATAATAAAATTCGCTAGAAAAGAGAACGAATAATCAGAAATAAAAATAAATTTTTAAAAAACCTCCCAGTGAGTTTAGAATTTGTATCCCTTACTTTGTTTGAAGGAAGGAGAAATAAGTCAACAACTAACTGACAAAATAATAATTATAAAATATTATAATAATTATAAAATAATAAGTCAACAACTAACTGACAAAATAATTGTAATAATGGAATGTCCCACTCTCCCTATTGCCTATTGTGGACTGACTATATCAGTAGATATATATAATAAGCACAGAATATACCTGGCAGACTTGCTTTGACAATTAGTTGGAGATTCGTCTCCTGCTAAGCTAGTTGAACTCTCAGCCTTTGGGCAGAAAGGAACCCAGACAAGGCTGTGCCGAAGGGCAGAGTCTCATCTGGGGAGGTAGACAGCTACCTGACCTCGTTTTTACGGGGTCTACAGAGAATTTTTGCCCGAGCCCACGCATTAAATAACAGCCTTGTGCTACATCCAGCCTCGCGGAGTAGTGAGATAAATAACCTTGTTTCGGCAATTAGTTGGAGACTTGTCACCAGCTGAGCTGGTCAAACTCTCTGCCTTTGGGTGGAGAGGAACCCAGACGAGGCTTGTCTGGGGTGGTAGACAGCTAACCCGAACCCATTTTTTTTACAGGGTCTACGTGGAATTTTTGCCTGAGCCTACGGATTTGATTTTGTACTGTATAAAAAAATGGTCTTGTGCCACATCCCTCCTCATTGTGAGGTAAGGTAAATACACTTGCTTCAGGAATTACCAGCCTGCTAACCAATTCCCTGTCTTTCAGTAGTGTATACTCTTTTTACAATAAACCTCTCTTTCATTTATCTATGTCCGTGTTGTTCCTTTCACTCGAGTACCACCTTTGTCTGTTTGTAACCTCTTTAAGGATACAACAATAATATTTGAAAATTATTAGAATTAAATGAAATGTTGTTACGGATTCTACTAGCATGAATAAATACAAATAAAAGACATTTTCTCAATCAAGGCAATTTTGAAGTATTGTATACACTCGCATATCATGCAATATTTGGAAACCTAATTTTGAAGCTAATCTTAAGGGGGTTGCATCATACACAAGATGTGAAATTAACATAATTACTACTGACCCTGGCTACACTGTTGACCAAACTATATATCCATTTACTCTAGTCAAATTAGCTTCAAAATTAGGTCTTCAAAGGTTGCATGATACACTTGTATATATGGTACCTCCAAATACAAATATATAAGAATAATTTCTAATACATACTTACAAATATAATACAAATGTCAAACATGTGTATAAATATCATCACACACATATATATATATATATATATATATATATATATATATATATATATATATATACATACATACATATATACACACATATATAAACACACACACACACAGTAGCGAGCATAAAAGATCAGAACAATGTTAAGAAAAAAGTCTAAATGTGAAATAACTTTTTATTTTAAAGCTTCATAGAACATTTTATCAAGGAAAAATAAGAATATAAAGGTAAATTATATAATTCCAAAATATAAAGCTCAATAAACTTATTTTGATAAAGTTACAAAAATAATTATATAACATTCAAAAAAATAGATGATCAAAAACATCAGAATGATTAAATAAATCCATAAAATTTAATAATTATTTTGCATTATTGAAAATTTTTTAGGGTAAGAATATAAAATAGGGTATCAAAAACATCAGAACAATTAACAAAATCATACTATTACAATGGATACATCATGAAAATAGCATTCATAATTCATTTGTACTTTGTGTGTAAACCTTTACTTTCAATAATAGCTTGACATCTTTTGCTACATGTTTTGCATTCACTAACGCATATTTTCTCCCATTCTCCTTTCAAATTAGTCCATAGTCCTTTGATGTTTGTTGGATTCTTTTCCTTAGCTCTTTCATTTAGTAACTTCCAAACATTCTCAATAGGATTCAGGTCTGGGCTTTAAGCAAGCCACTCCATAACAGTAACATCCTCCTCAGAAAGAAATGTCTTAACAGACTTTGCTGTGTGACACAGCATGTTATCTTGCATAAATACAGCTGGTTGATTGTACCTAATTTGAGAACTGCAATCAATGTTTCTTCAATATCTCTTTGTATACAGTTGCGTTAATTTTACCGTGTAGCCTGACAAGAAGTCCTGTACCAGCAGCTGAAATCTTGCCGAACACCATTACATTTCCTCCTCCAAATTTAATGCTCCTTTTAGTGCACTGAGGCGAATATTGTTCCTTAGGACTGCGTTGAACGAACCTTCTCCCATCACAACCAAACAGGTTAAACTTTGAATGTTCACTGAAATGAACACAATCCCACTGTTCTTCAGTCCATATGATGTGTTCAGTGGCATACACACACACATGCATATACACACACACACACACATATATATATATATATATATATATATATATATATATATATATAGAGAGAGAGAGAGAGAGACACCTATATATGTGTGTGTTTATGTTTATGGTATATATGATGACAATTAGGAAAAATCTTAGTTTTTTTGCCAATGTGTTTTGTCTTCCGACTTTTTTAAGGCAAAAATGAGATTGAAATGACTCTGGTATGACACTTTTCGTTGTATCAAAATGGTACGAGTTTGAATCTCGTTTTTGTTTCAATTCAGATTAATTAAGCATTAGATCATTTTATTATCTCGTAGTGAAAGATTTGTCAATATGGATGATTTTATCAATTTTATTGATAAAAAACAAAATAATTCTATTTTTTTATTGAAAATATTAAATTTAATCTATTAACTTGAAATTAAAACTAAAATAAAAGCTTCCAGAAAGAAATTTCATTTTTTAAATTGCATTTTAAACATCAGGCATGGCTTTTTTGGGTTTTTTTCTTGGAGGTACCTTGTATAATAATATTAATAGAATTGTGGACAACATGTGCCTGCCTATAAAAGATATAGTGGAGCTAGTAAAAGTAATCACTTGACTCAGTCAGTTTGTGAGTCAGTGATTGGACTTCATTTGATCAACAACCCGGGTTGTGCTTCCAAATATATTGACAGAATGTTCAGGGTGCTGCACAAGGCCTGGTTGGTTAAACACTTATGGTTTTTAGAAGCTGTTTACAGCAAGTTGCATCAACCAACTTTATGAAAGCAAAAAGAGAACTTTCTTCATTCTCTGTGTCTCATAGGTGGGTCATGAGTTATTTTTTTTTATATCTTATACTTACTTGGAGCTTATTTACACTAATTTGTATGTTTTTTAAGAATATGTTTATTTTAGTTGTGGCTGCTTTTTACCATTTTCAGTTTTGTCATTTTGATTGTCACTCAAATGAATCTTTCTGAAGAAGTGTTGGATGAAAAAAGTTCCTTTAATAGAATACGTTCTGTCATTTTCAAAGCCATATTTAAATTCAGTGATACAAAATTTGTGTTTAAATAAATAAAATATATATATATATATATATAAAAATAAAAATAGAATATATATAAAAATTATATATATATATATATATATATATATATATATATATATATAAAAATATAGAAAAAAAAATAAATTATATATAAAAATATATATATATATATATATATATAAAAATATATAAAAAAATAAAATATATAAAAAATATAAATATATATAAAAAAAAATAAATTATATATAAAAAAATATATATACATATATATAAAAATATATAAAAAAATAAATTATATATATAAAAATATATACATATATATATAAAATATATATATATAAAATATATATATATATATATATATATATATATATATAAAATAATATAGATATAAAATAAAAAGTAACTTTACCTTGTACTCTTTGAATTTACCCTTCCAAACACATTTTGGATTTATACAGTGTGCAGGTAAACGATCCAGTTCTTTTCGAAGAAAATAGTCAGGAGAACAATTTATCTACAAGAAATGAAACGAAATTAATGATAAAAATATACATAGATTCTGTGGTTTCTATTGACCAACACTAATATCATGTATGAATGGCTGAGTAGTTAGAATGTTAGCATTCCAACCATGAGGATGTCATTCTAAAGTATTGGGGGTGGGGGTAATTTATGAATTTGTTTTGCTCATGCTAAGTCTTGAAAAAGGACCTAATAAAATTCACTATTTTTCATCCATATTGTAGAATGTGTTAAAATTATTCAAATTTTTAAAAAGAAAAATCTCGTTGATGTTAAAAATTGCCACAAAACATTGTAGATTTATTTAAGATGGAATAATCTATTATGACATGTCTCTAATTTGTATTTAGATAAAATGTATTTATTATCAATTTTTCCAGTTGAACTGTTCACCTCTTTTGCATGTTATCCATTATTGTACATAATTAGGTTACAATAAAATTTGTATTTTATATGAATACTATCTTCTGAAAATCAAGATGTATTATAATAGTAGGAGGCCCAAAGTCCTTGGATCAGACCTCTTTGGCTGGCACAAAATCTGACTAGTCCAACTTAAAAAAGTAATTTTTTTTTTCTTTCTTTCATATTGAACACAAAATTATTAAGTGCAGTGCTAGATTGGCGGCTATTTTACAGTTAGATGTTACCCTAAGTTCTATGCTAACAGATTCTTCTCTCACACTTCTTGCTTATGGATTGGCCTATTGGCTCTTTTTGACAAAATACTAGGGGCCCTAATCAACTCTGAATTAGTTAAGCATCTCACATTCCAGATCCTTCTTTCAGATAAGCAATATGTTTTTTGCTTCTGTAGATCAACTGTTGGTGTATGAACGATTGTTGCTGAAAGAGTCTATCAAACTTTAGATAATAATGGTGAAGCTCTGGATGTTGCTTTGGATATCTCGAAGGCATTTGACAGGGTTTGGCATACCAGTCTTATTCAAAGATTTTTGAACTGATTTAGTATTTCTTATCAAATCATGAAATGAAAGTTATACTGAATAGCCATTCTTCTAAATCTTTTTATATTAATGATGGTCTCTCCCAGGGTTCTATACTTGGCCAGACTTTGTTCTTCATCAATGACCTTCCTGAGGACATCAGTTCTCAACTTTGTATCTATGCTGGTGATACTCCTGTCTTGATAAGTCTGATCAGTTTGATAAGGTGAAATGATTTAAAAAAAAAAAAAAAGAAAGAAAGAAATCTAATAAATGGAACTTCTGAGTACACAGGAAAAGAACATAAACCACACCTTTGGAGTCATTTTTATGACCTTTTCTGTATTTAAATTGAATATATTTTCTAATAGATGTAGTATTTTAAAAGGACAAACAATTTAGATTTAAAATTTAATTATTTCCTCACCAGCGAAACAATAGGAACCAAACTAGTAATAATAGTAATAATGATAAAACGAAGAGAGTCTGTTGGTTTCAATCCACACTGAAATGACTGCAAAACATTTTCCCCTCCAATTTATAAACAGAAGCACACAAAAGCATGCTGGGATTTTTTCCTAGCCAATAAAATATACAATATCTCGGTTTCATCTGACTTGATCCCAGTCTGTCTTGTCTTGAAGTCTGAACATTACATTTCCTTGTCCAAACTTGCTTTTGTATGTCAATTCTTAGATTGTGAACTTTTTGCCATATTACTGTTCCTTTGTCTTATTACTGTTAATTTACCTTGCACGCAATTGTTTGCTTGCTTTCTATTATTTCTTGCCCCATTCTTTTTTTCTTATTATTGCTTATTGCAAACTTTGTCAATCCTATTTTTTGGACAGTTCTGTTGCTTATTTTACGTTTGACCATGGCTACTCACCCCCAGAGTCTTTATTGCTTGGTCCTATAAATGTACTTTCGAAGTATCATCTGTTTATTGCGATTACACAAATCAAGAGCACACTGTATATAAATACTTCTAATGCTGTGCATTAGAGAATATGTTTTTCTGGATACTAGAATTGTTAATTCAATAGAAAACTACAATCATTACCAATGAGAGAAGGTGGGGAAGAGAAAAAGGAGGAAGATAGAAAGATAACTAGAGGTAGAGAGAGAGAGATACAAAGAGAGAAGGAAGAATCAAATAGTTGGATAGAGAAAGAGAGAAATTTCTATGGAAGTGATATAAAACCAAAATTAATCTTAAGTAATGCTGCTAATATGTTGCGGCTTCTACAAAGTGAAATTAGTGACAATTAGTTTTCACTGAAGGGCAAATGATTTTAGTTCCAATGACAACTTATACTTCAACAACGCTGACAGTGCTACAAATGCATGTACCATTGATGGTATTATTATCTCCTTTTATATTTATGATAGTTTTTAAGATTTTAGCAATTTTCTTATACCTGGTTTCCATGGCAACAAGCAAAACCAGATATTCAGCAGAAAATAATTTGACTGTAGAGTTTAATTCTACACAAATATATACAGTATAGAGATGTTAATTTGCATAGATAGTAATGAATGTAAATTTGAATTATCTTAAAACTGATAAAATTTAAAAGTGAATTAAGTCTGTAAGGAGCTAAAAAAAAAAGAAAAGAAAAAATAACTGACTACCTTTGCTTAATTGACAGTTCAAAAAAGAAGAAAAAGGCTTATTCTGATTTCAATGAATTTGTTATCATCTCAATGAATAGATGAAATGCTTACCTCACTGCTTAACATACTAACTGTAGGATAATGATCCTTTTCATCTTCTGATTCTTTTAAACAATCATGGCAGGTGGCTTTCCTAAATTAAAACAATATAGAAGTTAATTTAAGACAATAAAAAAAAAAAAATGAGAAAAAAAAATTCATGTTAAAAGTGAAAAAATCCTTTTTCAAGAGAATTCTTTCAAAAAAAAAAAAAAAAAAAAAAAATTATTTAAATAAAAAAAGACATTTTAAAATGGAAAGTTCTTTTTATTTGTAAATGTTCTTTTTATTTTTAAATGTTTGTTGGTTTTTTTAGTTATTTTTAAATAGAAAGTTTGTTGCCTTTTTTTTTTAATTTTTAAAGGGAAACTTATTTTTGTTAATCCTACTTAAAAAACCCTAAAATAAACAAAAAAATAAACACCACAGTATCTTCATTTTACTAAATTTACTTTAATATTGCCATACTATTATATTAAGTTAGGATAAGTACTAAATAAATTTGTCTGAATATTTTTAGTCAAATCATTCTACTCTGTGTCAGTTTGTTTAAATAAAAATATAATTTCTCATTGCTTTTTTGTTAATGTTTTGAAGAAGGCCTGAGAGTACAACAACCAACATGCCATAACATGGAAGCAAAAGAGAAAGATGACTTGAATAAAACAGCTGACTAAAAATCAAATTGATAAACACGTGAACAGCGCTGATAATTACAGTGGCAAAGAATGAATTAAAAAAAACCAAGAGGAGTAAAATTAATAATCTAAATAAGATAACCAAATCAATTATTGTGCTAGATCCACCTTCAATAAGTAGAGCCACTATAGGTAGAGTTTTACTAGGCAAGTAGTAAGGTTCATGGGGTTATACAGAAAAGATAACCATTAACCCTAGACTTGAAGAGGTCAAGATTGTAGTGATTGGGAAAACATACTGCCAGGAATCTGTGGGAAAAATGAAATAAAATAGAAACAACAAATAAAAAAATAATTAATTTTCCCATGATGTAAGTTATAAAGAAACTGAAAAGGGTTTCTGGTCACTTGTGTGATTTCATGACCCCACTTCCGGATAAGACAGAATCTGTTTCTTCTCTTGGCTTCAAGATATAAACCACACAGTAATAGCATTCTCACTGGGGAATGTTAGTATTCCCAGTCCACTGTAGACCAAGCTCTTTCCATTTTCCAAGGAGATTGTATGGACGTGTTTCAGAAGGTCTACTCATGAAGTAGAGGTTCAGTCATCCCAACTCAGCTCAAGGCTGACTTGAGCTCAACCATCTTTACCCATCTGTATTCTTACTTCCCATACATCATTTCTGAACCAAAAGGAAAACGGACATACTCAAGAGAACTTTTAACAATATTTTAATAGTCAGCACAAAACGGAATAAACGTCCGTAGCAGAAATGCTTCTTCCACACTTTGTTTACCTATTGAACATGCACTTTCACCTAAAACATATACACAAACATATAAACCTTGATAACTGTTGTAGAGTGGTTTTCACAGTGGAGGCTTGTATTTCACTAAGTTGGTCCTAAATTAGGTTCGACGTACAAAACGTTAGGAACTTGAAATAATAGTTAATGATGCAGCAATCTAGTTGTGGTGGTTGATACTTTGATGTCTGACCTCGACTGACTCATCAACTCACTGAGCTCACTGGCGACTGCTACTACTACTACTTATTATAGGTGGGAGAGTCTATTAACAATAGAATAGGTATGTTCCGGTATAACAACAACATCCACAAGTCTGTTCCATAAAGCAGCAGTTCTTGAGAAAAGGTCATCTAATTTATTACAATGCTGATTAATTAAAGGAGAAAGCAATTTACTGTCTGTTAGGATGGCTAGCCAATCATTGTTGTAAAAACCTACTACACAGGCATATTTGTGTTTGTTCAGCATCCTCAGAGCCCACTTGTGGTTTATACTGCAACTATGTTGAGTGAACCATAGTTACAGTTTCTGGTAGTCATCACATCATCAGACACAATCAAAAGTTTGAACCAGGCCACTACACTCAAACCCTCAGTCACAATGACTTGCAATTTCATGCTAACCTAACCACCGATAAACAATTCTGTCTACTCCATTTCACTCACAAAGTTTGGATCAATCCGTGGTATGGTTTTCAGACACTTTCTAACAGAGCCGCAGTTTGGGATCACCTCCCTATCAAGAAATCACCTGCCTGAAAAACTGAGGTGAGATTCAATGAGCCTCATGGCCAGAAAGCAAATGTTCTAACCAATCAGCCACATGCCCATCTATATATAAGATAAAGAACAAATATGAAACGTTTATCAGTTTAACATGTTTCACTTTTATTAAAGCTTCATCAGAGAATGAGATACAGAGAAAAAGAAAAGAGAAATTCTGGTTTGGTTTGTTTTTTCTTTTACAGCATATCAACCTCAAAGGGTTATTTTAATGCCAACAAGATTTTTATTGCTGATAATATTTTTTTTTTTTCCAAAATGTATTCCTGGTAATTTTTTTTTTTAAAATGAATACCTGGAAATTTTTTTTTTTTCAAAAATATATTGCTAGTAATAATTTTTAACAAAGTATTTCTGGTATTAAAACCTATTTTTACACTTTCATAGTGTTTTGACCCCAGTTTGGGGGTTAACTATTTGCCCATAGCTGGGATCTTAACAGGTGCTACCACCTTGTGTCAGGGTGGACCTTGGAACACCAGCAATTAAGCGGTGGTTCTATGCTCATCAAAACATTTGTAATTTTGAATTTTACTGTGAAATTAAAACTTAATTAGTTATATTGATTTCTAATTTAATCTAATATTAACTTTAATGCACTAATAGATTGTACTTAGGGTATATTGTCATGTTATTTTGAATTACCATATTGTATTCTGATTGGTCATCATAGGTAACATAAAAATGTTTCCCCTATTGAGAGGGTTTGGTTGGTTTTGAACTCTTAAAACTCTTTATTTTGCAATCAACACCATCATTTGACAAGACACCAGAAGTTTTGAAACAAAATGGCTATTTTCATAGTGATATTATACATATTTTGAATAAATTTTATATATATATATATATATATATATATATATATATATATATATATATATATATATGAAATTCTTATGTGTAATGGTTAAAAGACAACTTAAAAAGCATTTTAGAAACATATTATTGCAACAGGAGGAACATGGAAACCAAGACACTTCAACATCAGGAACAAAGTAACCGATACTGCAATAGAAGGTATACAACCTGGGATAGAAGGTAAGTTCATATAATGTCCTCTCCCCCAACATACCACAAGAACATTACTGCTTTTGCAACCAAATCATACAAACTTGGTAGAATCAAAGAAAAGAAAATGCTTAATGTTGTTAAAAAAAAAAAAAAAATCACTTACACATCAGTTTTTTCCAAGCAAATTTTACAAAATCGATGGCCGCATTCTCTTTGCATAGGTTCTCGAAATACTAATTTACAAATGTTGCAAATAAAGTTCTGGTCCACTTGATTTCCATCCATTTCAAAGACTTTGAGTGGATAACCACCATCAATTTTGATCGCTTCCACATCTTCAATTTTCAATTGAGTAAATTCTAAAGAAGCTTCCGCCATCACCAGTTATCTGTCAGTAAAAGGAAAAACATTTTATAAACAATTCATAAACTTCAACAATACAGTTCTTTGAATTTTTTGAGATGGGATATATTTGTTTTCTGTCACAGCTTAAGTCCAATTCCAAGATAGTGGGGGGGTCTTACTTCTGTTGGAGTAATCTCAGCCTGATTGACCATGTCTTCATGGTTACAGTTATACTCATCACGCTTGTCCAGCTGTGGGCTGGTAAGGATATTTAACCCATAGTTAGAGGATTTGAATTCAGAACTGTCCTTCTAGACTGGTTGCCATCCAAGGCTATAGGATCCAGTCTGCCCTGCTATTTATCTGTAGCTAATGGAAGAAGAGATGGCTTTGTAGAAGATCTTGCAAGCATGGAAAATAATAATAATAGTAAAAAAAAAAACACACACACACACACACACACACACACACACACCCTATTTCCCATGATTCCTTAGGAAAAAAAGAAACTGCCCTACTGGTGGGAAATTTAGAGTCATCCTCTTTTTCACTGGCTTCTTATAAAGAGAGCATGTGGATTTGAGCCACTCCAGGAATGAACACTACAGACAAGTTTTACACAAATATTACTTTCTTATGTTTGATATTACCTTTTAATGATAGACTTTTATCACTTGCAAATAATTTACTCATTCACCAAGACAAACTCAAAAATCAGAAACATTTATTAACAACCCCTTTACAAGAGCTTTCATATATCTACCAAACTAGTACAACAAAATCCTTCTGATAGTAAATACTTCTATATATATCTCACTTTGTTGTTATGATGTAGATGTGTTATATTTTACTAACCAAAAACAGGTGTCAAACAAGGCATAACAGATTCAGACCTTTCACAAGAGTATTTGCATGCGAGTGAAAGTAACAGACTTGACTGAAATTCAGCCTTGGATGGTAATCAGTCTAGGAGAAAGACAACTCTGAATTCAAAACTTGTGAGCCTAGTGTATGGACAGAGGACAAGCCAAACAATATTTTGTGGTCTTTAGTTGTCAGTTAAGAGTTTGGAGAGGAGATGGGTGCTGCTAGCTCACTGAAAGAATCTTAATGAATCTGTAAAATCCAAGCTAATTAAAGTGTATAATGGAAATTTTATTAATGAATTGGTATTTGAAATAAAAACTAATATCTACAGGTATACATTGTTTTTGTTCTGCTGTCCACTTCTAGCTCTGGAAATAAAGGTTTTAATTTGAAATGGCATGAAAATTAACCAGATAGACAGATACATAATAAAGGCCAAAATGTGATAACAACAACAAAGATGAAGACAATAGTTCAGAGATGAGGTATTGTAACTATTTAATATTTTTTTCAGGTGATATATGTTAGAATTTTGAACCAACCCTTTTGGTTCAAAATTCCAAAATATATAAACCGAATTCAAACATATATTACCCAAAGAAGGCCAGAGTGTATAACGACTGAAACATTGTGAATATGACAATAAAAATGAGGACAACAGTCCAAACAATGTAAATAGTATAAATAACAAAGATGAAGATGATAGTTCAAATGTAAATAATGATAACTCCTCATTCCAGAAATTCAGACGAAAGAGAAAATTGTTTTTTACTTATTTCACCCCCAAGCAAGGTAATAAAGCCACTAAGATGCAAAGAGTTACTGAGTGTGAGAAAATATGAGAAAAAATATTAATGAAAGAGAACAATAAGAGAACAAGAATTAAGAAGATAGAATAACAATTGACATTGCATTTAAATTTTTGAAGATCAAAGTTGACTGGAAAGCAAGAAGCCTGGAAGTCGAGACGTGCTACAGAAGAAACTATCAGCATAAAACTTATGGTTAAACTATCAAAATGAAGAAACTTTATGGTTAAATCTAGCCTAGAAATATGATTTAAGACACTTAAACAGGTTGTTAATTTTTTTTTTTTTAAACGGAAAATAACTGAGTTGAAAATAATTATAAAGTCTAGACGATCCTAAGGAAAGAAGAAGAAGAAAGAAAGGAAAAGGAAGGAAGGGAAGAAAAGAAAGAAAGAGAAATAGAGGACGATGACCCAATTGAGGGTGGAGATTCAGAAAGAGATTTCTTGGCCGATTTTGAAAGTCATTTTGATAAGAATGTCGGAAATATTTTTGCATGGAAAGACACCTTATCAATTTGGATAAAGAGAAATTTTTGGGAACAATGAAACAATTTTAATCAGGGAAAAAGACGGACCGGTGGAACGATATACAGACCTGTTAAGAATTGGACACCCACGTGTCTTAAAGTGGAGACATTTTCAAAGTGGATAATTAAGATTTTCTACTATCAGGTAAAACAAAGAGGTAAAAAGAGGGACAATTGCTTTTGGCTCACAGAGGGCGCCAAGAAGGCGGAAAAGATCCTTTCTAAAGTCAAGACTAATTAGCAGCGGGCTGTTTAACAAAGTCCAGGTGAGAGAAAGCCAAAGATTGTTGGCAATATGACGTGCAAAAAGGGGCAAAATTGATTTTTTTTTTTAAACAAGAACGATGTAACCACGCCCGCAAACAGAGGGGAGAGGATGTTCGATCAATTTACGATACTATGGAAGAAAAAGGGAAAGAAATGTTTGATCAATAACAATTGGTCGAATACGATCACGTGACCTGCGTGGAAGAAAAGGGAAAGAAACCATCAGGAACGAATACCTCTTTGTCTAGGGGAAAAACAACATAATGGAGAAGACAGAAAATGCACTTTTGGAATTATCGAGAAAACCCTGTCCCCAGTTTGTTATTTAGTTGAAGTTGGAGTTGCAGATGGAGTGGAGTTGCAGCTGAATTGTGGTCTGTGGGGATTGCCTGAAATGAGAAGAATTGAGATGCAGACACGAAAGTCGATGAGAAGTTAAAATCCTCGACGGCAGCGAGAAAAGAACCCTCAGACAAGAAAAAGAACTTCCAGCCCAAGTAGAAGAAGAAGAAGAAATACAATCAAGTCGGAGAGAAGAATCAACTGCGAATGATCGATATTAGCGAACTGAATAAAAACATGATTCTAGAAATTTATTTTCCTATTGTGTGAAGAAACTCGGGAAAGAAAATAAGATTCGTGAGTTTTATTTTATTTGTGTGCGGACTCAAATAAAACCCCTTTAGTGACCAATTCATCTAAATGTGACATAAAACATCTACTACGCACTTAAATTTATAAAGTCTAGATACCATAGAGGAAAGTGAATTTATTCTGTAAATCAATGCGAAAAGGGATTGGGGAAAGGGGACTATAATAAGTATAAACCACATTCATTCATCCCAATCAATACCTCTTTGTCTCTATGAAAATATTTAACTAGTCCCCATATTTACTCGTGGTCTGTGGGGGAGGGAATTCATTCTAAAAACAATGAGTATTTACAATATGCATATAAAAAATTTACAAGAAACCAAAGAAAATAAGATTAGTAATAAAAAAAAAAACAAAACATCACTTCACACGAAATCAATGCGGGGACTATAATAGTATAAACCCATTCATCCCAATCACCACTGTCATGCACTCATTCAGAACAACAACAAAAAAAAAAAACATCACTGCCCCAAGATCCACCAGCGAACTGACATCACTGACCACCTAACGAGGGAGGGATGGGGAATTAAACTTAAAGAAAAAACAAATGGGGACAGAAATAAAAGGGGCCAATGAGCATACATACCCTAGCTAAGTTAACTGAAAAAGGAAACTAAATCATCAAAAGGAAAAAACCTAAGCTAGCCTAGTTTCAGGATGGGTTGCACAAGTTCAACCCAGGAAGAGCAATATCCTGATGCCTAACCGCATCAATGTGCCCTCAAAGTCAGCTCCTTTCACACGACACAAGCCGCGCAAGATTCACCCACCTTTTGCTGAATTCTGATGAAGTGAGCTGTCCTTTCCATCTAATCTTGACTTTAAGCTGATGCTTAAAGTACAAGATCAGTTGGGAAGAGGTGAACTTCTCGCCTCCATAGAATCCCTTCTGACGGTCGTCCAAAACCACGACTCTCATAACACCTAGCAAGCAGTGGAACACATACTGTTCAGCCTTCGTCAGCGGGCGGTGCCACATTGCTACAAACGGAAACGGACTGAAGGACAAAGGACTTTCCCTGCAGCATGCAGACCATGAGGCCTTCAACAAACTTGACCAACGGCACTACCTGGCTGCAATGAAAGAAGGCATGACCAAAGGTCTCGACCTCCCCACTACAACGTCGGCAGTTTGGAGAATTCTCCAAGCCAGCTGAGCAGAGTCTCTTGGTGACCCAGAGGGCCCTACGTATCACCAGCCAGGTGAGTGATGCCTCATCGTTATTGAGGCATTTCAACCCGGGAGCCCAATTTCATATTGAGCGAGCCTGCTGCCTCGTCAAACCGAGCTCGTCAATCAGATCATCATGCACGCCCCCCCCTGACTAAAACTTGATATAATGCCCTACGAGACAACACCTGGACGTTGGAGAGGCCATCCGACGCCCGTAAGAGGCGCTTCAGAGCAATACGACATTCACGATAGAAGGAGCATTCGGCTCGGGGTAAACGGCGGGCCTCCTCCTCACACGAATGCACACTTCTCAGGGATGGGAAGTTCTTACGGGCGTCTTCCTTCCAGAAGGCGCCCTCCTCATCCGAATCACGACACATTCGATCCAGAAAACTAATGTGAAGCATATGTTGACGAATCTCAATGCTCGGCATGCCCAGACCGCCTTCAGATGGATGAAGGCAACAGATCTCCCGACTGACTCTGGCAGCCTTGCCTCCCCACAAGAAGGAGAACAAGAGCCTCACTAACGCCAGTAAAGTGTCACACGGAAGTGGAAGCACAGAGAGTC